GAGGACGAGTGGCTGAGGTGGTGGCTGGACCACACGGTGCCAGACCCTCCAGCCCTGGGGACAGGCAGGACCTGAGCTTTCCATGGAGCTGGAAGGGATGGCTGTGCAGGAGCTCCTGCTGCTGGTGTTCTTGGTGTTCCTGTGGCTGGGGCAGAGCCAGGGATGTGTCTGGATGTGACCTCCTACCAGAGGGGCCTTGGGCCTGGGCTGTGTGACCTGCTCTGCTGGGAGGTGTCCCTGCCCATGCAGGGGGTTGGATCTAGATGATCCTTAAGGTCCCTTTCCACCCTAAACCATTTCATCATGATTCTATGGATTATTGTGGCCCTGGTGACCCAGACTGAGTCCAGCATGTGGGGCAGGTTTGGGGGTGCTGCCCCCCCTGCCTAGTTACAGCCCCTTAACTCCATCTGCCCCAGGATGAACCTGGGCTTCACTTTTCCCTTGATTCAAAGATTCCTGGTAATTTTGTGCTGATCCTGAGATTTTTGGTCTGGAGAGGATCTGGTGGAGCCCAGTCCTTGGGGGTGATCGACATGAGCATCAGGGATCTGAGGGGGTTGTGGGGGGGTTTCTGAGCAGCTCTTTGGCCTCACCGACCTGAGTCTGCAGAACATTGTGGCCTAAAAATGGCTCCTTGGATGTTTCCAGTGGATAATCAGGAGCTGGGCATGGGCAGCAGCTCGGGAGGGGAATCTTGGCACAGGACAGGGCAGCTCTGCTCTCTACAGGGGGTTACATGGAGCAACAAAGCAGTCCAGGCTGGATGGACACAAGGGCTCCTCTGAATGTCACCTCAGCTCTCCACATCTGCTCTGGAGCCCACGACTTTCTGAGCTGTGACCACATTTCTGGCCCACTGGGGATGAAGAAGCTGTTCCTCAGACCAGGGGGAGATGCAGGGTCCTTCTTAGGAGGAAGGAACCACCACTGGAAAAGAGATGTTGCCTCCTGATCTGTTTTAACAGCCTGGACTGGTTTTTTTTTTTTTGAGCTGGGAAGAGTTTTAAAGGTTGGAGCAGATGATCCTTGAGGTCCAACCTGGCATTTCATGACTCTGTGATAGGATTTCTGAGGCAGAGCAGGGCACGGGAGTTGGATGAAAGGCTTTGGGTGTTTTTCACTGTCTCCTGCCTCTGGGCAGCCAGGAGGGGAGGAGGGAGGTGACCCCCTTGGTGGTGAAGCAACCTCCAGCCAGGTGGGGAACTCGAGTGTTCCTTTTTGGGACATTTTAGAGACAGAACTGGGAATGGATGAGCTTGGCCCTCGGGAACCTGGTAGAACGTGTGGTGAGGGGCTGGGGTGGGGGTTGAGGTGGGATGAGGGGCACTGGGGATCATAGGTTGGATGCAGGAAGGTGAGGGGTCCAGCAGAGCAGCTCAAGGACTCCAGCCCCAGCCTTAGTTCTCAGCGGGGGGTGTAGCTCAGGGGCAGAGCATTTGACTGCAGATCAAGAGGTCCCCGGTTCAAATCCGGGCGCCCCCTCCCCTTTTTTTTTCCCCTTCTTTTCCTGGAGAAAACCTCGGCCGGAGCTGCCCCTGCCAACACTTCCCCCACCAGGCCCCGTCCTCCTTCCCCCTGGGTGCTGGGGAGGGGGGAAGCAGCAGATGTCCCCAGGAAAAGAGGACTTTTTTTGGGAAGAAAGAGATGAGTAATTTATGAGTGGCTGCTCCTTGTCCTGGGATTAATTAGCAGGTGTTTGTGGCAGTAATTAAGAGACAGGCTTCCAGGAAGCAGGGGGTATAGCTCAGTGGTAGAGCATTTGACTGCAGATCAACAGGTCCCCAGTTCAACTCTGGGTGCCCCCTTCCAATTCCAGCTATTTTTTAAATCCTCAGGATTTGGGGGTGTCTGTTCACTGGCCAGATCAGCTTGGGCCTCCTCCTCTTTGTTCTTTTCAGCTGGAGCAAGAAAATCATGGGGAAAATGTCCAAGACTGAGCACATTGCTGCTGCATCAACTGAGAGTCTGTTCAGAGACCAGTGGGAGAAAGAAGAGATGCTGGTGGAGAGGAACTGGGACGTGGTCACCTGGTTAGTGGGGAATGGGTCTAGTTTGCCTCTTGTTTGAATAGTTCTCACTAATTGCAGCAGCAACCAGAGGGTGTGACCGTGTCCCCTGCGGAAGTGAGACCTGGGGGGCTGTGACCCCAGCGGTGGGTATCGCTGCCCTCCCCACCCGGGGGCTCGAACCCGCGTCCCCCAGCCCCGCAGGCGGGAGCGCTGCCCCTCG